GCAATGAACCGTGAAAATGAGGTAAAGGTCAAATAAAACCTACAAGACTGACATGTACATCATAAAATATTTCCATACACCAATTTGAAATATAGTAGACCTATAGTATTGCATACAGTACAATGCAGTATAAGAGAAATAGACCAAAACACAAAATCTTAACTATAACCACTGAACTATGAAAATGAGGTCATGGTCAGATGACACCTACCAGTTGGACATGTACACCTTACAGTCCTTCCATACACCGAATATACTAGACCGATTGCTAATAGTATCTGAGATATAGACTTGACCACCAAAACTTAACCTTGTTCACTGATCCATGAAATGAGGTCGAGGTAAAGTGAAAACTGTCTGACGGGCATAAGGACCTTGCAAGCTACCCACATACCTTACCATATATAGTTATCCTATTACTCATATAAATGAGAGAGAAATAAATTAACATTACAAAAAATCTTAACTTTTTTTTCAAGTAGTCACTGAACAATGAAAATGAGGTCAAGGACAATGGACATGTGACAGAGAGAAACTTCGTAACATGAGGCATCTTTATGCAAAGTATGAAGCATCCAGGTCTTCCACCTTCTAAAATATAAAGCTTTTCAGAAGTTAGCTAACACCGCCGCTGCCGGATCACTATCCCTATGTCGAGCTTTCTGTGAGAAAAGAGGGACGAAAGATACATGTACCAGAGGGACAGTCAAACTCATAGATCGAAAACAAACTGACAACGCCATGGCCAAAAATAAAAAGACAAACAGACAAATAATAGTACAGACGACATGACAGATGACACAACATAGAAAACCAAAGACTAAGCAACACGAACCCCACCAAAAACTGGGGGTGATCTCAGGTGCTCCGGAAGGGTAAGCAGATCCTGCTCATAGTCGCAGGCTCAACAAAAACAATGATATCAAGATAAACGCTTTCACGCTATTTACATCCAATATTCTTAGTGAAAAACAGTCACCCGGAATAAAAAAGGGTGGAATGAAATTACGCTTACACAGCCAGGGTTAGTGATGTTGATATTGCCGGTATGTCATTAGGTCTCTACTTGTTGATACTTAAACATGTGCTTGTGGATTACTCATTTAGCTGAGTTGGTAGAGCAGAGACTTTCTGTGCAAAGGGTCACAGGTTAAAATTCCGATTGGTACAGTAATTTATTTTGGAAAGCAAATAATGATCTCTGGGTTATGTGTAAACGTATTTTGGTATTTAGCTGAATTTTGTCTCCTTAAGCCTGAGATCAAATCGGCACTTGGTCAAATTGGCACCCGATGTAGTCATTTCGCCACCCATGTTCAATATTTTCAGTATTTGAAGCAAATAGATTAAAAAAAACAAGGGGTTGTCTACAAATATTGACTTATTTTCATTTTTGGGGGGTTTCTGTGTATGTATTTTTTCCATTCAACTTGATCTGTATTCACGGTATTAGATATTTTTATGCATGTTTTAACCAAAGGAGAATTTTCCATTATTGGAAAACTATATCCATTTGTTTGTTTAATGGTGTTTAAACTTTCCTGAAAAAAACCCACCTTACCTGATTGTTATCTTACATTCAAGGTTGATTAGTGATAGTAATGAAAGGGACTCATAATTTCCCCTTTTCCTGCTTCTAATTTTCTCATGATCAAACAACAACAGCTTGTGTAATGGCTTCATGTTTTTTACTAAGTTTTTAAAGTAAAAAAACATCAATAACAACCTGTTTAGATTTAAAACAAGAAACATGTTAATTATGTAATAATAACTGTAATTGATAAAAGTTATTAATATCAATTGAAAAGATAACTAATCAAAACGTCAGTCACAGATTGTTGAGAAAACTTATAATATCCCCGAGGAACCAGTAATGACGCACCTAAGGTTGTTTTGTCTCTGCATTTATTCTACCATTTAAAAGAATTAGAAAAACGGAATGGAATAAAAGATTAGTAACTTGTTATTATATTTCAATCATTAAACAGTTGATATTTGAAACAGTAATAGCAATAAAATTCATGTTTCCTAACGTTACAAACGGACTGCCAACTAATGATGGGTACCAGTAATGACGCACTATAAACAAACCAGTAAAAACCACTTGCACGTAACTGATAATCGAAAAATTGCTTCAATCCAGATTCTTTAAAATTAAAACTGTTCAACAGATTCAATTTTATTAACAACTTTTGATATTTTCATTCACTTTAATGATCATGATGATTGTAACACCAAATTTTTAATCAATTTAAATGTAACCTATATTTTGGTATATAATTGTTCAAAATTTATGAAAGTGATATACATATTCCATATATTTGAAAATAAAAAGTAATTGCATTCATAAAACAACATTGACAATAATACATTAATCAATGTATACTTCATACATTGAATGAAAAAAAATCGAAAAACCATAGAAAATTATATAAGCGACGATCATTTGTTCTACAGTGATTCCCGCTTAAATATAAAACCATGTCACATGACAGTCAGGTGATTTGAAAAAAACAAAATGGGGAAGCATACGGTTACATACTTTTCTTGACCAAAGTGGAGATAAGACTGATAATCTTTCGGGGAAGGGTAGAATTTTTTTGACCTTAATAAAATGGCGGAAATTGCATTGTCTTTAATATTTTAAGCCATTATAACATTTCTGGGCAGAGTTTTAGGCATCTTTGTTGTAGTCAGATACCTTCAACATAATTTTATGAACAGCAAATTGTTGATGACGTCACGGCTTTTGTTTAGAAATATAAAACCGTTAACTAAATCGGTGCGTCATTTCTGGTCCGCGTCAAAACAGGTACCAAGACGATATGTATTCTAACTGCTTGGTGAATTTTAACTATACATGCTATATGTAGATGTAATGAGTAATATAAATTAAAAAGATAAAGCCAAACCCCAACAATAATTTAAAGATAGAAAGATCATTTATACCAAGGATTTGTAAATTGTAAATTGTATAGAAATCCTTGTTTATACATTTTTAGAATTATTTATGTTTTAGTGTTTATATTGTATCAAATAATGAAATATAATGGGTTTGACTAGATGCCGATTTAACCAGGTGCCGATTTGACTTTTTCTATGGTTGCCGATTTGAATTGTAGACCCCCCCCCCCCCCCCCCCCCCCCCCCCCTCGGTTGTTTATCATTCTGTTACGAGGGAAAAGATAGTAATTTCACACGATGCAGGATCCGCTCACGATTTTTAAGAGTGTTTGAAAAGTTAGGTCGTTTTAACATGAAGCAGTAATGCTAAACCATGTCAATATCGACCCCTGTTATGTGCTTGTCTATATATTTTTACCGATTCATGCTTTCATGGCAAATATATCATAGAATACTTACCTTTGATCGCTTCAAAATTCCAAAAATGGCGGCTGGAAACTTACACAAAACACGTGACTCGTGACGAACGTTGTAGATCTGGGTGCATACCAAAAAGTAGCACCGAGGTTTAGCCCAGATTCCAATACAAATAATTTAGAATATTAAAAAATAAATCGAGTGATAAACGGGGCGATAAATAGGTTAAAACATTTATAAATCCTGGTTTATATTGGATGTATATTTGTAACTGCCTTTTCAATAAAATGCGTCTTAATTCATGTAAACGAAAAACTATATCTTAAAAAATATCAGTACACTGCGAAGATCTGCGAAATTGTCTTATAACATATTCTTTATTCAAGAGCGCTCAAAATGGTAAACAATACCATGGCACATGAAAATATTCTCAAAAATAATATATATGGATTATGCACATGCAATGTACAGATTATTGTCAATACTTGTTATGAAAAGTATGCTTCGAATTATGTCGATTTATCAGTGCAGTGGCGGATCCAGAACTTTTCCTAAGTGGGGGCCCGCTGACAGACCTAAGGGGGGGGGGGGGGGGGGCCGGTCCAGTCATGCTTCAGTGATTCCCTATATAATCAACCAAATTTTTCCCACGAAAGGGGGGGCCCGGGCCCCCCTCAGTGGATCCGCCTATGGATTTATGTCATATAATGCTTATTTTAATAAATTTCGTATCCAATCCATCATGCAGCTGTTATGTTTAAGTCATATATGCTTATTTTGATACATTTTGCATCATGCTGGAGTGAGAACTGAGGTATCTAACTGATCCGTCATAGCAACTATTTTCCAATAAAACCTAATTGAAAGATGAAGAAAAAAATGAATATAGTTTCATCATGTTCATTTTTCAGTCTGATGTTTATTGGCCAAAGAGCTATTGCCTAGCTTCAGGTGGAGGTATATATCTAAAGCCAACAAACATAAAGCCGTTTTTACAAAATAAATAAACTTTTTATGATTCTAAGCAAAATCAGTCTATTTAGAATAGCAAGCATTCGTTCAAAAAAAAGAAAAGAATAGGACTATTTAGAGTATTGTTTTAACTATAAAAACTGTCGCTTATAACGACTAACATTGTAATACTCCATAATTACAATTTGTGTTGTTTCAAAAACCTTCATAAGCAGTCGCTTACCGCAGAAGTTGTTCCCGGCGTTGATCCGGGTAACAAGTACGTTGTTAACCTTATTAGTGGTAACACTGAAACTGTAATACTACGCCATAATATCTCGGAAAAGATCCGTGTTTGTACTGAGTAATATGTATATAGTGTACGTTGTTAGTTCTACAACTTCTAACATTTGTACTGTGCAGTATAAAAGTATACTGTTATTAGTACTACTAGCGGACTAATTTTACTAATAGATTTCCACTATTACTGGCTAACATTGCAGGATCGGGTGAATAATCAATGGGAAGTTAACGCTTCCTTGTTAAGTTAAAACAATAATATCAATCTTAAACAAATATCTAGGGGAAAAAATGAAGGTCATCTATTATTTTATTCTATAGTATTGAAATGGCATAATGCAAGAATAAATTATACAAAATTAAAAGATTTATGTTCAACGATGTACATGTGTATTTAATAGAAATAAAAAAGAATGTAACAAAATTACCTGACGATTGTAGAATATGAAAATTTCCCTCAAAACTGCAAACAAAATACCGTAACAAAAATGTATAAGCATAACACTACTCCATTTTTAGCTCATACATTAAAATGTAATTACATTACGTCACATTATCATCCTTCCGTATTCGACTTCGGTTTTCCTTTTTTGATAATTTTACTACTTAAACATAATTTTAATGATATTGTCAAATCTTAAAGATACAGAACTTTATTCCGGAAATGTCATATACTTATTGTACTTCACTAAAAGCATTTTCAAAAGTCCTTACCTTAGCACTTGAAACAAAACATTTTGCTATGGTTATTTTAATTATGTTTTGAATTATTTGTTACTGTTCAGTTGACCTAAATCAATTATATCGATTACAATTATCCTAGTTTACAATGAAACAGTTTTGCAAATGATTTTCCCTGAAGATGAAGCAGTCTTTATAGTCGTTAAATACAGAGAAGGCCTATTTAATATATGCAAGATTCGTGATATTGAGATAGAAATAAAAGCTCAGTAAAGGAGATGTTATGGTTTACACCAATGTGACAGCAACCCAACGACACAAATAACTAAAAAAGACATCTTTGAGATCAGTATACATTCTCTTTGATTTAGATATAGCATACACAAAGGAAGGGCCAATTAACCTTGCATTTATTTTAACCTTGCATTTATTTTAATCTTGCATTTATTTTACATCAAGGCCCTTTAAAAAAATCTTTAAATGTTACACTAGTAATTTTTTGGGGCCCTTTATAGCTTACTGTTCGGTGTGAGCCAAGGCTCCGTGTTGAAGACCGTACTGTGACCTATAATAGTTTACTTTTATAAATTTTGACTTGGATGGAGAGTTGTCTCATTGGCACTCATACCACATCTTCTTATATCTATTATGGAAAATATTATGACACATTTCAGACAAGATAACCAAAATTTAAACAACTTAATAGTTCAAAATCGCCATTTTGACAGATTTTGTATCAAAACGCCTAAATCAGCAGCATTTAGCGTTGAATAACATTTTGATTTTATGAAAATATGTACGGTAGTTGAAAAACATGTTTTAATTATATGATATTAATTATTTATAAATATCATATAGACTATTTTAAATTCAAATTCCAGTAGGATTTGAAAACTTTAAGATTTTAACCACTTGATTGAAGAAAAATCACGTGCAATTGGCCTTTCCTATTTGCTTCATTCGATCTTTAAAATAAATCATGATATAAGCCTTTCGGAATTCAACATAACTTAATATTATACAAGCTATAAACGTGACATTTACTAAATAGATTTGACACATAAGATTACTAGAATGCACTCGAGGAGACCTCTGATCAGGATTTAAGTAATTTTATGCAAATGACAGAAGATGTGGTTATTCCTTACCTTCTATTATACAAGTGAAACGGATTTCATTTTAAATGTTACATTTAAAGTTCATTTTAAAACTTTGTATCAAATTGTTATTTGGTAGGATTATTTGCAAACACGATTTTAGGTTCTGTGTATTATAACTTTTATCCTATAAGAAACGTTAAGGTGTCCAACAAAATTTTTGGGCTTGATCTAATTGCTTAGAAAGCGTATAACTGAGAAAGAAATTACATATTGACAAACAGTATTAGATGAGCAGTGTATCAAGAATTTCGCAATGGATTTAAGAATAAACGATAACGAGAAAGCAAGCTAAGATTTATTCAGATTTCTCCAATTTTTTAAAAATCAAATGACAGTTTATCCAACTTATGAGAGAGGTGATTTTAACTGTATTTGACAAAACCTTTTGGGAATGTTTGGGTCCTTAATGCTCTTCAACTAAGTACGGATTTTGCCTTTTAACTTTTTAATATTAGAGAGTCACTGGTGAGTCTTTTGTGGACGAAACGAGCGCCTTGCGAAAAAAATTATAAGCCTTGTATCCTCGATACGTTTTTTACATTGATATATATGAATCACAATTGACATGAACAGTGAGAGTTTCATAGAATAAGTCTCATATTCTATAACTTTAATAATATTTATTGTTAACTTTTATGACATTTAATATTTGAAAGATATACTAGAACTCTAAAATTGGCCAATTGTCATAAAACGGAAATTATACTTCGTATGCAATGGGATATTTTCAATGTGTTTTCTTTCTTTTCTAAACTTCCAATTCGTATAATACGTATAAACTTTGGAACTAAATAATGCCGAAATTCCATTTGACCTTAAACATTAGCATAGGAAATATTCCTGATATAAACTGACAACCTCATTCACCTAATTACAATATAATTATTACAGCATATATCAATTATGGTGATGGCATCTTTTACTTATCACTAACTCAGTTTTCACAGCTTTATACACTACATGTTCCAGTCGACAACGTCAAATATTCCTTTGTATTCGCAATGCTACCAAGGGAGCTACCATTTGTTTTTTTATGGGGGGGGGGGGGGGGGGGGGGGCTAGGATGAAAAATTTGGTCCTGCATTTTTTTTATTGTAATCTCTGTTCTGCCTTTTTATTTTCCACTCTATTCGGTCCTGCATTTTTTTATTAGTTTATCCTGACTTTTTTTACATAAATTGTCATCCTGCCTTCTTTTTTTTTGCCAAGTTGCTCATCCTGCCTTTTTTTTTACTCAAAACTCCTGTCCTGCCTTTTTTCAAATTTCATCCTAGTGTTGATAAAATCTACATTGTCTTATTTATAGTAAAACCCAAATCAATTTATCAATGTCCGTATGTATATTAATTGTTATGTATTAATATATCATAAGAAGAAAAAACTCGTCAGTGCTCTTTGGATGTATTTTCCATGACATGCGATCATGTTTTTAAAAACAGTTCTCTGTAACCACCAACCAAGTTGCGGCACGCATAGTCTTAAGATTTTTTTGAATTTTTTTTGTTGGTAGCTATCAGCAAACATATAAGAAAGATATTGACAAACAAATTGTTTATGTCTCCGTTGCCTTGGTTACGGGTCCCCTTAGATTTTGGCTCAAAATTACATTTTTTTGAGGTAGAAAAATTATCATTTTCAGTCAGTTATCATGGACACATTTCAATTTTGATGAATATTGTATCATTTGTTCATTAAAATATAATAATACTCAGTTAGACAAAAGATGAAAATAATTCTTATGAAAGGGGAGAAGGTGGCAACACTGATTAAAATAGGGGAGTTTTAATTGTAGTAATGAAGGCAAATTATAGGCATTTTGCATGAACTTATTACACACTTTTGCATACAATATTTAATGTAAACTAACATTGTTGCCTATTTATGATTTATTACTAAAGGTTTGGGATTCAGGTTGCTAGGGTGGTTGCTAAGGGAACATAACTAGAGGCTCTAAAGAGCCTGTGTCGCTCACCTTGGTCTATGTGCATATTAAACAAAGGACACAGATGGATTCATGACAAAATTGTGTTTTGGTGATGGTGATGTGTTTGTAGATTTTACTTTACTGAACATTCTTGCTCCTTACTTTTATCTCTATCTATAATGAACTTGGCCCGGTAGTTACAGTGGAAAATACTTTGTAAAAATTTACAAAAATTTACCAAATTTATGAAAATTGTAAAAAAATTGACTATAAAGGGCAATAACTCTTTAAGGGGTCAATTGACAATTTTGGTCATGTTGCCTTATTTGTAGATCTAACTTTGCTGTTTACAGTTTATCTCTATCTATAATAATATTCAAGATAATAACCTAAAGCTGCAAAATTTTCTTAAATTATCAATTCAGGGGCAGCAACCCAACAACGTGTTACCTGATTGGTCTGAAAATCTCAGGGCAGATAGATCTTGACCTAATGAACAATTTTATTTTCATCAGATTTGCTCTAAATGCTTTGGTTTCAGAGATATGAGCCAAAAACTGCATTTTACCCTATGTACTATTTTTTAGCCATGTCGGCCATCTTGGTTCGCGGGCGGGGTCATCGGACACATTTTTTAAACTAGATACCCTAATGATGATTGTGGACAAGTTTGGTTAAATTTGTCTTAGTAGTTTCAGAGGAGAAGATTTTTGTAAAAAATTACAAAAATTTACGAAAAATGGTTAAAAATTGACTATAAAGGGCAATAACTCCTCAAGGGGTCAACTGACCATTTTGGTCATGTTGACTTATTTGTAGATCTTACGTTGCTGAACATTATTGCTGTTTACAGTTTATCTAACTATAATTATATTCAAGATAATAACCAAAAACGGCAAAATTTCCTTAAAATTACCAATACAGGGGCAGCAACCCAACAACGGGTTGCCTGATTGGTCTGAAAATTTCAGGGCAGATAGATCTTGACCTAATGAACAATTATATACTCATCAGATTTGCTCTAAATGCTTTGGTTTTAGAGATATGAGCCAAAAACTGCATTTTACCCTATGTACTATTTTTTAGCCATGTCGGCCATCTTGGTTCGCGGGCGGGGTCATCAGACACATTTTTTAAACTAGATACCCTAATGATGATTGTGGACAAGTTTGGTTAAATTTGTCTTAGTAGTTTCAGAGGAGAAGATTTTTGTAAAAGATTACAAAAATTTACGAAAAATGGTTAAACATTGACTATAAAGGGCAATAACTCCTTAAGGGGTCAACTGACCATTTTGGTCAAGTTGACTCATTTGTAGATCTTACTTTGCTGAACATTATTGCTGTTTACAGTTTATCTCTATCTATAATAATATTCAAGATAATAACCAAAAACGGCAAAATTTCCTTAAAATTACCAATTCAGGGGCAGCAACCCAACAACGGGTTGCCTGATTGGTCTGAAAATTTCAGGGCAGATAGATCTTGACCTAATGAACAATTTTATCCCCATCAGATTTGCTCTAAATGCTTTGGTTTCAGAGATATAAGCCAAAATCTACATTTTACCCCTATGTTCTATTTTTAGCCATGGCGGCCATTTTGGTTGGTTGGCCGGGTCACCGGACACATTTTTTAAACTAGATACCCCAATGATGATTGTGGCCAAGTTTGGTCAAATTTGGCCCAGTAGTTTCAGAGGAGAAGATTTTTGTAAAAGTTAACGACGACGGACGACGACGACGACGGACGCCAAGTGATGAGAAAAGCTCACTTGGCCCTTTGGGCCAGGTGACCTAAAAATGAAATATTTGTT